GGTCTGTAGCCCTGCCACTGTCACTGTGATGAGCATTATTATCATTATTATTATCATCATCATTATTATCACTATTATTAAATCCACTCGCCATCATTCAACAAGTCAGCTGCTGAGTGAATAAGACATCAGACCTGTCAGTCTGCCTCAATCAATTCAATTTTATTTATAAAGCCCAATATCACAAATCACAATTTGCCTCACAGGGCTTTACAGCATACGACATCCCTCTGTCCTTATGACCCTCACAGCGGATAAGGAAAAACTCCTCAGGAAGAGCAACTGAGGAGGGATCCCTCTTCCAGGAAGGACAGACCTGCAATAGATGTCGAACAGAACAGATCAGCATAATTAACAGTAATCCGTATGACACAATGAGACAGAGAGAGAGAGAGAGACAGAGACAGAGACAGAGACAGTGACAGAGAGAGGTGCAGGACAGACGGTAATGACAGTAGCTTACAACAACATGAAAGTAATAATATTAATTATTATTAATATTAATAGGCTAATTTATATTACCTACAAGCTATTAAACATTATTCCACTCACATGACATGCAGGACAATTACTGATGGGCAAATGTGTTTGTGTTCGTGTGTGGTGTTATATCAACACGTGTGGTTCTGGACATGAGCAGCTGCACATTTAACAGCCACACATCACCGACAGTCCGCTGAACAACGCAACGGGTTGTGAATGAAATAAACTTAATTACAACATGACAGTCTTGCAGGAAATATCATTAACGTTACTCTTTGTAGTCACGTAGGCATGTGAATTACAGCGTTTCATTGCAAAGAAGGCATGTAACGGGTACACTTGCGCTATTTCTCTGCCATCTTGTTCAAATGAGCCAGACGTAGGGGGCGGGTATTTATACGTCATGGCCTCAAGCTGAAAAAGACTTCCTGTTAGGAACCTCTCGACCATCCTAGCTCGTAACTGCTTAAAGCTTGCTGCTAGCTCCTAGCGCTAGCTCCTCGCTGCACAAATAAGAGCCTTGGGACGGCCTAGAAGATGGCGGACCTCGAACGACTTCCGGTTCAAGCGAGGAGCTAGCAGTAGCACTATAAAAATAAGAGACTTGGGACGCACCCTAAGGTTCGTTTTAGAGCCAGGCACTGCAGTTGCCCTCCACCGACTGCACCGCCTGGCTCTCACCTGATCTAACAGCTCATTGGTTCAGATGCCGACCAACAATATGACGTTTTAGATAAACTACTCATTTTTGTTGTATTTAGAGATTAAAATTGTATTTGTCTGATCTGAAGGTTTATTCTGTGAACAGAAAACATGTTGTGTGACTGATGGTGAAAACAAACTGATAGCCTATATGGGCCTGATCACTTTTTTAATGAATTGACATCATTCCAGACAGGATGTAAGTGTGTCTGTGACTTCCTGTACGGACTGAAGGCTGCTGGAAACTGTCGGGAAACTGTCCGACTTCACCGCAGCTTTTTATCACCGCCCCCCCGCTGCGGCCGCCTGCTCTCGTGTAGCTACTTTTCAGGCAAGGCGCGGTTCATCTCGAACGAGCCTAATAACTGAAAAAAATAATCTGCAAAAAAACAAAATCGGGCTGTTATTTGAATTTGGTTTTGTCATTTTTCGTTTTTGATTCTGATAACAAAAACGGAAAAACGGCTCCATTTTCTCGTTTTTTCGTTTTAAACCAAAAACGGAAAAAAACGGGAAAAACATGGTATTTCCGTTTTTTCGTTTTTGGTTTAAAACGAAAAAAACGAACTGCCTG